TAGTTATCGCATTTGTTTACCCGCGAAGATTTTACTGGCAGATGAAGTATTAAAACACGAAACACAAATAAAACGCCCTTTTTCATCAAAAATAGGAACGCGATGGAGGAACAAAAACAAAACCTATAATTTTTAAATACACAAAAATGCAACTTCCTACCTACAGAGTAAATATTTGTCAAAGTTTACTGAAGTTATGTAAATCACCCACGCTTAAGTGGATCAGATCCAGACACAGTCAAACATAAATAATAAGTCAAGAACAGAACATTGGTTTGTGGAACTTTACAGTAGCTGAAAATGGCCTTCAGTATCTTTTTTGGAATGCATTTAAATGAGTGTGCATATTTTACCATTATGTATGCTATCTTTTTCTTTCCTGCGAATACTCTGTCGAAGTAAACACTCCGACGGTCAGTCATGTGGTACAGGCTATTTATAATGGCAGTTTGGAATGATATCGAGACCTTTCTCCTTTTTCGCTGGATAACGCGAAGTGGATGAAGTTGCCTAGCGTTCCAAGTTTAAAGAATTCGCCTCATGCTGGAGTGAATCAAGAAAACATTGCTTTAGCCAAATGACATACCCTCTCCGGACTTGACTGTTCCAGGGCTCCAGAACTCCGCAAGATGACGCCATTGTCTTTCGACAGTCGTGCCAGTGATACATTATTCTTCGGTTGACGTCGCAGCGTCTCACTTATAGCATGGTCAGAAGGGCGATTGATGGCACTGGAGTTAGCCGCTACAGGTGGATTTGCAGTGGTATTGGTGGTGGTTGTAGTGGCGATGGTGGAGGTAGGCGTAGGAAGGGGAGGTGAGCGGAAAATCTCGCATCGAGCACCCATGCGGGTGGGCGGACAGATGCAGATAGGCATGGTGGTGGTGTCCAAAGCGTCCTCTTCATCCTGCGCCTTGTTCACACACCGACCGCCGTTTAGACAGTAGTTAGGCATTGACCCGCATCGGTCATAAATGCAGGCACCGGTCTCGTTGTCTTTGATGTAACCTGATGGTGTTTTAACCAGGGTAACATCAACAAAGTAGTTCCCATTACAGGAATGACTTCCTTCTCTTGTCTGTTAAAGTGATTTTAAAAGGGCTGTTCCTTTGGCATACTAAAATAGGTCGACTGTACTTGCGTAATGGCATTTCATTTAGTAAATTACTTTTTTATTCAAAATCCTCTCATCTACATGCTTTAGTTTGCTTTAAACTTTGTTTCAGAACAGTGGCAGTAGCATCGAGATGGGCCAATATATTCGTCTCTACATCATTATTTGTTGCTGCCTCAAAATGTTGTAGAAATTTACTCCTATGGGAAACAAATACATTCC